TATCTAACCTAACTCACTACCTAAGAAACAGACTAACTGTGGATTAGGATTAAGCCATCGTTACAGCCAGCTCTTTGCAGGCTACCTCTGCCCACTACTTTTCATGCCGCCTTTCGATGCTGCCTTAGCAACTCTATGTGTGCAAAGCTCAGCGAAAACAAAATAGCCAGAATACTCAGACAACTGCGAGAGAAACGGAGAACAACATGGGGGTCAAGGAATACAAAAATTATTGAAGGGGCCAGCCCACAGAGCACCTGCGTAGGCAAGCATATAGAGTCCAGCGTGAATTTGCAACAAAGAACTCTACTAATACATTTCGATTCTTTTACGACAATCTACCACAATTTCGACTTATAGATTATTATTGCTTTCACTATAATATAACGTTCTCTTTTACACTCGTGATGGTCAAGTCGGAGCCTGATGGTAAGGGGCGCAGCACGGTGCACGTGTCTACCTAGTTTCCATCTCGCTTCCCCGCTCTGGACTCGCCATCATGCACAGTAAACAGAACTACGAGTGCCCTCGAAGACAGTACGCCATCCCAGGCAGGCTTACCTTTGGGAGTGCAAGTGCCTCTTCAGATACGGCTTGAATCGCTGCGTTGTTGGCCGACGCTTAATGTAAAGCGACTTAATCCATGATGTTGTTTTGTGGTGGCTAACGGTCTGATGCGACCGATCGTGCCCCAACTGGCGGGCCACGTCCAGCATGGACCCGTTTATCGCTGTGTCGCTGGCGGGCAACATCTTACAGTTTCTCGCCTCGGCCCGGTCCGTGTACAAGCAAGTCGCAGAGATTCGCTCCTCAGTGACAGGCCTCTCCCAGAAAAACGATGCGATGCTGTCGTCCGCCACGGAGCTCCACGACATGGCTGAATCCATCACTGCTGGCTTGCAGTCCTTCCAGGGGACCATGACTGGGACGGAAAAGAGCATCCGCGACATCGGCCAGCGCTGTCAGCAATTGAGTCTCGAGCTGCAGGAAGACATTAAAAATAAGGCGGCCAAGGATCGGTCCAGTGTCTTACGGGCGACAACCAGTGTCATAGCGAGTTCTTGGAAGATACCAGCGGCCGAGAAGAAGCTCAAGGAGCTCAACGAACTGCAAAAATCGCTATTTAAGCAGCTAATCATTCATATCAGGTACATTTCGCAAAGAATTGGCCATGTTTTGTACCACTGACACAATGATAGCCGCAAACAGACCAGTCTGGGCATGGCTATGACGAGTCTGATGGACCAGAACCGAAAATTGGAAATGAGCCGCGCGGAGGAGCTCGCGAAGCTCAAGAGCGAGATCATCGCCGCTTCTGAATCCCTACAGCCGCTTCTAGCAAAGTCCTCCTCGGAACGCGATACCAGAGAAATGGGCGAAAAGTTATTGTACTGGGTCGAGCAGGCGGCGGATATCAAGCGCGAGCAGGCCATCATTCAAAGCCTGCGTTTCGATGGGATGTTGCACCGGCGTGAGGAAATTCCAACTGCGCACACCAACACGTTTCAGTGGGCGTTTGCGCCGCACTTGCACTTTCAAGAATGGCTTGAGAGAGATGACGGCGTGTACTGGGTCTCAGGAGACCCCGGGTCCGGGAAATCGACACTCATGAAGCATCTCAGTAGCCACAGAACCACGCAAGAGGCACTCAGGAAATGGGCCGGGGACAAGGAGCTGGTCATGGCCAGGTTCTTCTTTTGGTTCTCGGGCACGGCATTGCAAAAGTCGCAAGAGGGCCTGCTGCGGTCGCTGCTTTTTGAGATTCTTCGCCAATGTCCGTCTTCCATCGCCGCGGCTTGTCCGTTGCGATGGGAGTCAAACGCGTCTTATCCGTGGGAGAGGGACGAGCTGATGAGCACGTTTCAGCGCCTGCGCCTGCAACTCCCGTCGACACGTTTCTGCTTCTTCATTGACGGCCTTGACGAGTATCGAGGGGAAATTGAGGCTGATCACGGCAACCATGTTCCGGGACACGTTGCAGAAATTATTGGCATCATGGACGTGCTGTCAAGCCTGCCTGATGTGAAGCTCTGCATTTCAAGCCGGCCCTGGCGCGCATTCGAAAATGCCTTTGGCGGACTCGCTAATCGCAAGTTGTACGTGAATGAGGAAAACAGCGGCGACATTCGACTATACATTCGGGATAAATTCGAGAGAAGCCACGTATTCACTGAATTGAACTCCAAACGTGCCGAGCTTCAGGCTCTGGTCGAGGAAATGGTTGAGGACTCACGCGGCGTCTTTATCTGGGTGTTTCTTGTTGTCGAGAGCTTGCTACGAGGTCTTTCCAATGAGGACCGACTCGTTGAGCTGCGTCGCCGGTTGAATGAGACGCCCAAGACCCTCAACGACTTGTTTGAGCGAATGCTGAATTCAGTCGAGGTCATATATCAGGAACAGGCAGCGCAAATCCTGGCTGTTGCGTTGCAAGCCGTCGAGCCATTGTTTGTCATTGTCTACTCGTTCATCGGCGACGACGCACACGATGCCCTGACGTCTGAGGTACGGCCGTGGACCGTGGAAGAGTGCATCTCGGCTTCCAAAACCGCAGAGTTACGCATCAGCGTGCGCTGCCCGGACCTCATCAAGATTAGGAAAGGGAAAGGGTATCCGACCACGACGCAGAGCATGGTGCGTCACCAGCTTGATTTCCTTCACAGAACAGTCCGCGACTTTCTTACCCTTGAAGATACGCAAAGACGCTTACATGGCCGGTTGCAGAAGCCATTTGACCCGGTCGAGTTTACCTGTCATGGACTTCTCAGCCAGGTCAAGGGCGCAGCGGCCTCGGATGATGGTTTTTGGTCTAACGACGGTCCCCGCAAGGAGCACTGGGAACTGCTGGAAACCATGTGTCATTATGTGGGCGTGCTGGAACAGCGCACCGGAAAGCCGCAACTCGAGTTACTTGATGAACTGGAGCGTGTGATTGCCCAGCAGGTTGGCACACGTGATTTTGTTATTAGCGGTGAGTCGTTTCTCGGCGTCATGGTCCGTAGAAACTTGTATCTCTACGTGGAAGCGAAGCTCCCGCAGGGCTTGCCCAGGCACGGCGTGCCGCTGCTCGAGTGCGCGCTGTGGCCAGAAGGACATTTCCAGGACGGGCAGCCATTGCCCAGGATGGTTTCGCTGCTACTCGACCACGCCGGGGCCAGGCCGGCAGACATGGGCGGCAATGGTGCGAAATCCATCTGGTACGGCTACTTGTACGGGCTGTACAAGTTGCGTCAGCAAAGCGGGAGTCCTCTGTCGCAGGCTGCGCGCGAGGCACACGCTGCGGTCATGGCGAGCCTGTTGCGCCACGGAGCGGATACGAGGGTGCGCTGCGCCGTGGGCCGCACGGAGCCGAGGCCGGCGGTCGGCAGAGCAAAGGGCATCAGGTACCTTGTATATAAGGACGTCTTGGAGATTTTGCAGGAAGTGTTTCAACCTGAAGATAGGGCTTATCTTGAGGCCATTGTGCAGGAACGGCGGCTGAGGTTTTGGTCGGACTGGACTGCGCCAGACTGGCTGCGTTTCAAGTTTTTGTCGACAACGTAGACGCTATTTTAGACATGAATGCCGGGCAGACACCCGGGAGCCCTAACTCTCCTCCTACATTAACACTAGTAAAAAGCCGCCACTAAGCCCCTTTTTAGGGGTATTCCTGTTAGGGCATTAGGGAAGGAATTTCAGGAGAGTTCGCCTTCCCCCTCGTCTACGACGACCACGCCTATCAACAACCACGCCTATAACTACCGCCACGAGTAAATATACAGTGTGATTGTAATACTTCTGCCGTGATAGAGCTTATAGGGTGTGGTCTATCATTTATCTACTGTTATCTGATAACTATCAAAATCGCTGATCGTAAAAGATTAATTGCTTGAAAAAGCGGCCCACCGTAATTGATATCTAGATTACGTGGCCGCAGTTTCAAGTTGCCCCGTTCAGCTTATGCCGATGGGGCTTCGGCTGTTGTTCTGGTGCCTGATTCTAGACTAATGGCATGTGCAGCCAAAGACAAGAGGTATAAACTTAAAGTGGCAGTTAAGGGGCATGAAGAGCCATCGTCTTTACTAAAACAAGATTTAGGTTCCTCCCTCCTCCACAGTTGCGAACGACTAGGCCTGTTTATAATCAGCTGCCAATCTACCCTTTTGTCACGCAAGCAGTGCGACTATTCCTCAGCGTAGAAGCCATTTCATTCCTGGAGTTCGTTGCGTAGAGGACCGCAGGAGCAACAGCGGTCCGTCTAGGAACAAGGCTGTGTATATTGTAGAGTGTTCTTGGGGTGGCGCGGCGTAGGGTCAAGCATGTCACGCATCGCATGCGCTGGCTGGGTATATCCACCAGTCGACGGTCAGGCCTCTAAAGTGTCAATGACTTGCATTTAATAGCAGTTATCAAGTATATATAACACCACTTCCCTGCTCTATGCCGACGGCAATCGGTGTGCTACAGATGTCTCCCCTCGGTGATGCCGGTCAGAGCAAGACCCGAGACTTCTGCTGATGAGAACGGGTAAAGGTAACTCGTATTCCAAGACAGGTCCGCCAAATACATGCGAAACGAGGCAGACTCCAAAAGTTTCGTTGCAACGCTGGAACAGACCAACACCCCACCCCCCACCCCCCACCCCCGCAAATATTGTCGTAACTCACTTATAATAAGTAAAGAGAACTCGTCAATTACAAGAACTTCCTCCTTCTATTTTAGTAAACGATATGGGCCGCTCAAGGTGACTCCATATCTCTTTGATTGATTTAGATCAGGCGTAAAAGAATACAATACATTACAATACAATACAATCCACGGGTTAGTGAGATGGATTGATGTATTATGTAATCCGACGTGATATTAATTGAGTTGAGTGGTTTGCAACCTTGCTGGTAACGGGCGGCTAGTTACCACCGGCCTTGTGGTTCGACCGTATTGTTTTCGTCTGTAACTTCTTTTGCATTTCTTTAAGCAGACTAGAAACTGGTCTAAATGGTACACTGTACTTGGCCGAGACCTACTGCCGCAACCACCATCCCTACCCGCAGCTAAGCGAGCCACCCCATAACGTCACTCACATGCAAGGTCTTCCACCATGTTAATAAGGTCTATGCAGTCCTCCATTGCGTCTTCTACCAATTCAGTGCTGTCCTCGGAATCGTCCAACTTCTCGCAGGTGTCGAGAACAAGATTGATACTCCTTGCCCTCATGTTGCGGCCCGGGTGCGGCGGCGGCTGCTCATCCGGAGCATCTCCCCGCCACCGATCGCAGGCGTAATCGACACTGTTCTTGAACCTCTGCTTGCCACGAATCGAGCAGATGAGGCCCAGCTTGAGCTCGTTGCCGTCGATCTCAGGCACTTGCGGGCCGCCGATTCTCTCCTGCACGGTGGAGATGGCGCCGTCGATCCAACTGACCGCGTTCCCGATCGGGTGGTCCCATTCCTTGACCATGTTGAGAAGTTTGTGAGCGTAAGGGGCGAGCACGGTAAATGCCACAGCGCCCCCCGTCCTTGCGCCGATCCGCAACCCTTTGCCGACTTTGCCGACTTTGCCGCCCTTGACGCCTATTGTCTGGCTGTTAGTCGGCAGGTATCTTGACTTTTTTTTTGTGAGGAATAGGAGGAGAACGAAAGGGTTGGATATTCTCAGCAGGAAAAGAACAAGAAAAAAAAACACTGTACCTAGCGATAATGTATTGCGGACACGCTTCGCGGGGTCGCAGACTCCCCGCCGTCTGCCAAAGCAGGAAGAGGACGACTGGAACTCGTAGTTTGGATTATTAACCCTTTTCCATCGGCCGGTAGGCTTTTTATCGTCGATTATATAGACGTGTGAGATACTGGTAGGGGGAATTTTGCCCTTTACTACAAACTCATTCTTCATCTTGACGTTCCCGTCTTTACGGTAAATGCCTGGTAGCCAGTAGCCATCAGGAACGTTGTTATGCGCAATAACATAGACGTAACCCCCTTTAGGCGAAAAGCTGAAATGACCTGTAGTATAGCTCCTTGCCACATTCCGCGAGCGGCTAACGGAAACAAAGCCCGACTCGCCACTATATCGGAAGTGGTGGTCTAAAACTGTGTCAGTGCCCTTGGGCTGGAACCCTTCCTTGAAGATGACGTCAGGGGGCCGCGTATCGCCGCGGTAAAAGACACCCTTTCTGTTTGTAGTCGAGGTTTCCATCATGGAAGCATCTTTGGCGGTGGTCAAAGGGGGTTCCTCGCGACGGACCCGCTGTTGCTCTGGCAGCTCGGACTGCTCGGGCGGCTCGGGCGGCTCGGGCTGCTCGGGCTGCTGTGGCCGAGTCGAATTGAGCAAGAATTCGTCGAGGAAGATGTCAAGCATGGGCGACGACAGGATAGCGCTATCAACCTGAACGCCATCGATGGTCACCAGGTCGCTGTCCGGGGAGGATGACGGCTCGCCTGCCGCCTGTGGCGCGGCAAGGACGTTGAGGGCAAAGAAAGCTGCGAAAAGCTGAACATACATGTCTATGATGGCACTTTTTCTGGACTTTCTGATTCCTGATTGACTTGTGCGGTTGGTGGGTAGTCGGGTATCATTCTCTGGCATTTGGGATGCTGGAGACTTATTTATAGTGATCGAGCGGAATCGCGCGGTCTGTATCCTACTTGCCTACATCTACAAAGCCGAAGCTCGCACGAACAAGAGTGGCACAGCAGAACTCATGTGATTTCAGGAGTTCAGATACGAGCATGCCATGCTAGTCTAGCCGCGCCGCAGACTATGCATGAATCGCAATATGTAAGATTAAACTCTAATAATTTCTAGAAAGCTCACATTAACATTTACATTCTTCTATTATCTGACCATTATACTAGCTCTATCTTGCTCTTTAGTAATAATGTTATTATTATTACGGGAAGTTCGAGTCTTTTTGCTCTTTATTTGCCTTACGCGCTTCTCCGTTGATTAATGCCATGATCTTGAGTTTTTTTGAGTACTCGCGACTCGCGACTAGAGTGGATTCTGTTATAATTCTTCATAAAATTACAAAACTTCAACTTACTTACTCAAACCCCCTGATCAGCCATAGCTTGCCCCCGGTTAATGAAGTACCTTTTTTGATCGGAGCGTCTCGTATAGACAAAAAGAGCTCTATCCTTGCCTTTTTATGCCTTTTTCTGAGTCCCTAGTACTTAAATCAAAAATGGTGACTTAGGGTGCTGGCGGCTGTACTGGCTGTACTGGCTGTACTGGCTGTGCGGCTGCTGTTCGGCTTCTATACTGACTATACTGGCTGTATGGCTTCTCTACTAGCTGTACGGCCTCTATTATCTATATAGGGGTGTAGACAATACTTTGTGGCCTGGCGTGGCCCGGCGTGGCCAGCCCTGTGGGTTCTTCGATGTATCCTGAGTCGCGAGTCGGCAGTACTCAAAAAACTCAAGATCACGGCATAAAGCATTAAACTGCATGTGCCGTCTCACGCCTAGGCTCAATAAAGCTAATCACTTCCTGATGGGCTCACTCTTCTGTTGGTCCGCTTTTGTGTTATCGAGTCGTGAAATTAAGCATAGCATAGAATATTATGACTTCTGGAACTCCGCGACTCCGCGGAACCAAAAGAGAGATTAATAATTATGCCTGGCTACTATTCCATAGCTATACCTTTCGTATGCCTGTTGTGTCCGACTTTCAACGTAAAGACGGCAGACCTGCCCTGCTGTCTTGTGGCCAGAACAAAGAGTTCTGAACTCGAATGATTTATCACTCCCGGAGTTACACTTTCTCTCTTGCCGCCCTCTTCTATTTATTCACCCATCTTTCAACCTGCATTTTTTACAAGATGCATGTATACACCGCAATCGTCGCTGGTGCCGCCATGATGCAAATGGCATCGGCCAATTGCAAAATTGGCAACGCAGAATGCGAATGGTTCGGCACATCCACAGAATGCGGCACAACCAACAGCTGGATTGGCGACTGGGACGAGGAAGGCAGACAACTCAGCTACTGGACACGGAGAATGAGCATAGGGTCCCTCTATGCTAAGTATCCAGCCCTAGGGGAGGACTGCTACAACGATTACGGATTAGGATGTGTCGGCGGCTATAAACGCCTGTGGTGCAAGGAAGAGACGGTAAGTTTTTCTTTCCGGCCGCACGAGGGGCTTATTTTTGAATTATTAGTTGACTAATGTTCGCCTTGACTTAGACGACAGAAGTGCAGTGCAGTAGCAGTGGCAGTGACCGTGACCTGTCCGCGACAGAAGCATTTGCCGGTTCGCTATCAATGTCGAAGTAGCGCTGCCTCTTTTGGCTCGATGCGTAAGCGTTCTGCCTGGGTGGCAAATTTGTCGTCACACTACTGCCTAGAGGGCAGCTGTGTTCCGGAAGTATTTAAAGCAGTATTGATAAGTTTAGGAGAGCAGGACAAGCTTTTAGGAGGTCCGAATAATACAACATGAGATTTAGAAAATACCACATGCGTTATCCCTTTTTAGACACCCAACCTACTTTTATGCATGATTTCACGGGGCCAGATGAGATCAACTTATAAAAAAAAATGCCATTATATTGCGAGAAGACTAAGATGAAAAGGAGAGATATCTAGGGGCATGCGCGCGGACGCGCGGACGCATTAAGTGCCCTCCTGCTCTTACCCGACCCCGCCACTCCGGACGGTCCTATCACACAGCAAGTGATCGTCTCTAGTGCCAAGCAGACAAGAACCCATAGAAGTCGTCATTCGGTTTCACCATGTCCGCAGCTACAAGTGTTCACACATCCATCGCCGCTACTCAAACGCCTAATGAAAAAACTTGTCAGCACAATGTGACTATATTTAAAAATGACAAAATCATCAAGTCTGCTATACAAGACTCTTGCAGCGAGGCATACAGTTCATCGGAATCCGATAGTTTCTTATCTGAGGCCTCCAGGAACTGCAGGCTTTCCTTAATGATAAGCCAGCAGCCAACAGGTTATTGTTGTGCCGATCGAGCCACTGAATTCTCATTGGCTGGGAGTCAGGAAAGCCCACTTTCAATCTGTATGATAGCTCTTGTGTATGGCCTCCACACACAACTGAGTTGTAGGATAACAATCAATCAACAACACGAATCAAGACCAATAACCTTACGATAATTATCGTTGATGAACCGACAGTTAGGACATTGCTAGCCTGCAAGGTTGCGTTTGGCGTGGGCAGCCTCAGCGAGTGACCCGTCGGAAACGAGCAATACGACCGAGTCAAGACATGCCGATGCCGATGGGCTGAGATATGAGGATTCTCTTGGTGAACAAGGGACCAGCAATGCTGATCTGTCTTATCGTTTTTGCTCGACTGTTTACGAAGTAGAGCTCCACGATTTGTACAAGGGCATAAGAAGACCGAGATAGCAGAAATCATGCGCCACTTCGTCATGCCCCTTATCAATCGCTTCTCCACATCCTCGCTCTTCCGAGTCCACTCAAATCCCCCACTTTCTACTATATCGCGCAGCAATTTCGGTATACCAGCGAGAATTCTTTTTATAGCTAGCTTCCGAACAAGTTTCAGCCTTGCTAAAAGAATTGAAACCCATTCGGAAGCAGTTGATATAACCCACACTCTTGACTGGTCGCTAAAATATACGGGAGCACTACAAAATTGTCAGTGTTGGTTAAACAACAATAATTATCGTAAGGTTATTAGTCTAAATTCATATTATTAATTACTTATTCTTCCTATAAGTTAGTATATATAGAGGCTATATATAAGTACTATTATATAAATAAAAGTAAGTCTTTACTAGCTTCTAGCTAATAAGAATTTAGTATCTTAATAAGTATAATACTAGTAGCTTCTTTTTTTTATAGCTTAATTAAGCTTATTAAAATATTAAAAATTTATAAATAAATAAATATTATTAGCTTCTTTTTCTTTTTACTTCCTTACTAACCTATTAGGATTAAATCTATATAAAGTTCTACCTATTTAGTATTATAAGTATAAAATATCTTAAATAATACTAAATAAATAGTTATTTAGGCTAAAAGGTATATTAAATTAGCTTATAAATAATATATTAATCTAGGTATACTAAATTAGGTTAAAAATATTAAAAATATAATAAAAATAGAATTCTTTAATAATACTAATATTAAAGCCTTATTATTCTATTCTAGCTTAGGGTATTTATTACTAGTCTCTCTAAATTAGCTTAATTTAGCTAATTTAATAAAAAATAATACTCTAAAAGAGAAAGAGATCTAGGGATTAATCTTCTATCTTTTTATATTTAACCTAGCCTTTTACGTAAATATTTAGCTTATTCCTCTTAATAAGGTTATTTAAAGATTAATTTAGTAATCCCTTTATTATTATATTAACTAGATTATTATTACTATTAATCTAATAGACTTTATATAGCTTATATCTTTTATATAATTATTATAATACTATAATATTTATTATAAATCTCTTTTCTTTAGTTATTCTTAGCTTAACTAAGTATTTATAGAGAAAAAAAGAGTTTATATATATAATTATTAAGATCTCTAGTAGCTTTATTTAATCTATAATTATTTTAATTATTAAATTAATAATATATTTAAGATCTATTTTTTAGATTATATTATATAATTCTAAAGCTAAGGCTAATCTTATTACTTTTTTTAACTTTATTAAGCTTTATATAATAATATTACCTTTAAC